AATTGATGTTTTTGGTTGCCCTCCTTAAAGAAGGATGTTAAGGAGTTCGTGTTAGCCTGCCCGACCTAAGCTCGGAACAAGTCCTCTCATCAGCCTCCTGCCAGATTACTACATCCTTTGCCCATTCAAAAGAGACCCTGGTCTCACATTGCCATAGACTTCATCACTGGAATACCCACCTCCAAAGGTATGACCACCATTCTCACCATTATCAACCATTTCTCTAAGGCCTGACACCTTGTTTTGCTGAGAAAACTACCCACAGCTCCTCAAACAGCCCAACTCCTGGTCAAGCATGTTTTCCGCCCTCATGGGATTCCCCAAGATATCCTCACTCACTCACTTCTGGCTATCATCCCCAGTCAAATGGTCAACTCGAGCGCATGATCCAGGAGTTGGAAGCCAGCCTCAGGTGCCTGTCAGCTACAAACCCCACCAATTGGAGCCAGTTTCTCCCCTGGGTTGAGTATGCCCACAACACTCAGATCTCATCAACTACCGCACTCTCCCCTTTTGAAGTTTCTATTGGTTATCAGCCTCCCCTTTTTCAGGCTGAGGAGGCTGACATTGCAGTTCCCTTTGTTCAGCAACACATCTGCTGCTGCAGGGCATTCCGGAGCAGGACTGCAGCAGCTCTCGGACGGTCTGCAGAGCAGAACCGTAGGTGGGCTGACCATAGGAGGAGGGTTGCCCCTACGGTCATTCTGGACCAAAGGGTTTGGCTCTCTACATGGGACATTCCCCTCAAGGTAATGTCCAGGAAGATGTCTCTGTACTTAATCGACCCTTATGTGGTGGAAAGGACCATCGGCCCTTCTGCTGTCCACCTTCGCCTCCCCTCCTCAGGATCCACCCTTTCTTTCATGTCTCCCAACTTAAGCATGTCCTTTCCAGCCCCTTGTGTGCACCAGCTGAGCCCCCTCCCCCCTTGGATGTTGACGGTCACCCTGTGTACACCATTCACAGGATCGTTGAAGCCCATCGCCATGAACAAAGGTGGCAGTATTTAGTCGACTGGGAGGATTATGGTCCTGAGGACCATTTTTTGGTCCCAGGATCTTTCATTTTGGATCCATCTTTAATAAGAGACTTTCGCTCATCTCAGCCCTCTGGCTCTGCTGGACCGCCGGGTGGCAGTCCTTGAGGGGGGGGGGGGGGGGGGGGGGGGGGGGGGGGGGGGGGGGGGGGGGGGGGGGGGTTACTGTTAGAAATCCAGTTTGTATGGGTTGTTTGTGTGTTTTTTTCCCTCCACCAGCAGCTGGTGCCCTTTCCTCGTTAGCCCTCCTGCACAACTGCGGCTCGTTGGATCATTACTGAGGAGTATTTGAGCTGTGTACTGTCACTACCTCCACGCCAGAGTGTTTGCCAGTTTTGGGTACTCTAGCCAAGCTGAGATTAGCCGAGTCTAACCTAAGCCTTTGTTTCTCTGAGTCTAATATTGTTTTTGTCTTTGCCTTTCGGCAGGAAGCCTTTCTGTGTAACAGGATGCCTGGCCTTCTCCCCTCGGAAAGATTAACTGAGTTAACATTGAGCAGGGGAAAACATCCACATTTGCCGTACAAGTCCCTTTCAGAAATCCAAGTGACAGTCCGCTCCATTGCTCCTCCGAGTCCAATGAATGTCTACCTGTCCCCTCTCCAACAAGTTCCCTGTTCCCAGTTCTTTGGATAAACCCACACTGAGTGAATTTAAGGATTAAAAAGAACCCCCTCAAACGTGAGTCCCGCTCCAACAGTATTCAAGTCTCAGTCATTTTCCTACAGTCCCTGAACTGATCACTGTGATCTACTCTCCAGACTTTCCAGTTCCGGTTCACCAGTTCACTGAGTTGTAGATCCAACTACTGTACTCATTTCCTCAATAAACCTGTTTAACTTTCCCCTGGTTCTCTGAGTGGTTCTCTGCATGTGGGTCAGATATCTTTAAACAATCATGACAATTTATTAGATTTTTCATGGGCAAGAAACTATCTGGATGGAGTAAAGAGTGGGTAACAGTAGAGAAGCTGCAGAGATGTGTGTTAAACTACAACTCTGCTTCCTGGTCTGCACCCTGGATGGTCAGGGTTTTGGAGCACTAACAAATGTAGCCAGATTCCTAGAAAGAAGAGCTGGACCATCCAAAGTGGGATGGATGCTGTCTCTCCGAATCAGACCAGGCTTTCCCCAAAAGGATTGCCAAATATTAATGAAGCCCACGTTGTTTTCGGTACACCACCTAGACAACCAGCAGTTGAATGATGACATGCGGCTTAACATGTCATCTCACGTCAGATCAGGGAGGGGACCAGAGAAAACTACGGAGTCCGACACTGTTTTAGCAAACTTACATATAAAAGCAACAATAGTTTCAGTGACCTCCGATCGGCATAATCTGGTGTAATTACCGCCAGGGTGAATAACAATCTTACTGTATTTAACTTTATCCTTAGCCAGCAGTTTCAGGTAGGATTTGATATCGCCGGTTCTGGACCCTGGCAAACATGTGACTATGGTCCCTGGTGTCTCTAATGCCACGTTTCTGTGGTGTGTCACTGAGTGGGGAAAACAGGTTAGAAATGGGAACGTGTAGGTGGTGACCAGTGGGCAGAGATCCACGACTACGCTTTTTGTGTACAGTACCCAATTGCCTGGCGGCTCAGGCACATTTGGAGGACAGCTATGTGGGGGGCCTACTTTAACTCCTGGAAATTCGACAGCCTGAAGCCTGGATTCTAATTCTTACACCCTTGCCTCAAAAGCTACAAAAATACTACACTTATTACACATACCATTATCACTAAAGGAGGCAGATGAATAACAAAACATCTGACACAGAGAGCAGGACAGAGGAGAGGAAGAAGGACAAGTTGGAAAAGAGTCAAGGGAGGGAGAGAAAGAAGTTTCGCCAAGTTCAGTTTGTGCCTTCAACTCATTCGCCCATAGGAAGACGTTACTTGGATATAACCTAATGGAATATCTTCAGAACAGCTCCAAATGACACAATACTCAATATTGTGAGTAGAACAACATGTAATAACATAAAATCAAGGGCCAAATGTAATAAAAAACTGTGTTTTCCTTTAATGACAAATCTTCCCCATTCTCAAAGGTTCCCTGTGGAGTAGCACAGGGATCAGTGCTAGGACCAATTCTCTTTAATATATATATGGTCCCAATCAGTAGGGTTATTAGACAGCATGGGATTAATTTCCACTGTTATGCTGATGATACCCAGCTAAATATGTCTATAAATCCAGATGAAGCTAACCCATTACATAGATTACAGGCATGTATTGAAGACATAAAAACCTGGATGACCCTTAACTTTCTGCCTCTGAATGTAGACAAAACAGAAGTTATAGTCTTTGCACAAGAGTCTTTAAACAAGAAGTTAATTAGTCAAGCACTTTATTTGGACGGGATGAAACGTATTTCAGACAATAAAGTAAAACACCTTGGTGTCATTTTTGATCAGGACCTGACATTTAAATCCCATATCAAAGAGGTTTCTGGAATGTCCATCTTTTATCTGTGGAATAACAAATTAGAAATATCCTGTTCAGGGTGATGCTGAGAAACTAGTCTATGAATTTGTTACTTCAAGGCTGCACTATTGGAATTTCTTACTATCAGGGAGTCCACAAACTGTAGTTTAAAGCCTTCAGCTGATCCAAAATGCTGCAGCCAGAATTCTGATGAAAATTAAAAACAGAGATCATATCTCTCCTATCCTAGCTTCTCTTTAAAAGCCTCCAACACACATATGAAGCCTTAAATGGCCATCTTATATCCGAGAAATGATTGTTCCTTATGTCCCAAACTGAGGATGTAACACTCAATCTGCAGATTTATTAGCAGCTTTTTGACAAAGCTTATACAGTCCTGCTCACCATTACTGGCATCCCATAGACTTGTTCTACTGTTTTTCGAGTGTAGTCCTGTTTCTCTGACTGTGACTGGCTGGATGTGCTGTCTTCATCCTCTGACATGGGAGTTGGCTAAGAGCTAGTCTACCTGGCTGTGTGTTTTTCCTGGACATGGGCGCCTTTTACAGCTGCTTTTTGTATCTCTGCCTCTGTCTCACTGAACCCCAGCCGGCCTCAGCAGATGGCCACTCACACTGAGCATGGTTCTACCAGAGGTTTCATTCTGTTAAAAGGGAGAATTTTCTCTCCACTGTCGCTACAAGCATGCTTAGTGTGAGGGATTGCATCTGAGTCAATGAGTGAATTGAATCAATTGATGTTCCTTAGATAGAAAACTTTGATTCAATTTGACTGTATGATCTGGTGAACTGTAAAGTGCCTTGAGATTACATGTGTTGATAATTGGCGCAATATAAATAAACTGAATTGAATTGGATAAAAGAGGAGCAGTGGAAGACAAAGAAATTTCCAGACTGACACAAAATGTTCAATGACTTTGAAAGGATCTCAACCACTGCACGGCTCTTCATCAGATCCTCACCCAATGCTCCAAACTAGATTACAGGATATCATGACCCAGTCCATCAGAGGATACTTTCACTATTTAGGAACATTTCAAAGCAAGCATAAGCAGACAAAACCAATGACATTTTCACAGGTTGTAGAGTTTGGTGTGAATCGTCCAATTGATTAAATTAGTAAAATGTAAGAACATTATTTTAACTCTGGAAAGAAGAATTAAATCATAATATAATCAGAATCAGAATTACTTTATTAATCCATGGCAGGAAATTATTTTCTTGCAGTGCCCCCATTTACATGAGAGAAAAGAATTGTTCAGGATAATTCTGCAACCCCGTACTTAAATTTAAATTATTCTTTCATGTTTCCTGCTTATTATTGAATAAATCAAGAGAGGAATTTGAAAAAGAAATAAACGTTAACGTGATCAAAGCAGTAAAGAAGAAATCAGACTTTAGCCTGAAGATCCTCAGTGTGGATCAGTAGAATATCAGCCATATGTCTGCAGTTTAGAGTCAACAAAATTTTACCCTCAGAAATATCAGCACTTAACTAAAAGGTGGTGATTGACCTCAATTTTTGAAGTTTGCAGAGGGGAGACTGGAGAAAACAACAGAGCTGCTTCACTCCACCATCTTTCAGGTCGTAGTTGCCGCTCAGGTCCAGTTCTGTCAGGTTTGAGGGGTTGGAATTCAGAGCTGAGACCAGAGAAGCACAGCTGATCTCTGATAAACTGCAGTGAATCAATCTGAATAAAGAAGAAAAAACACATTGAAGCATCTGGAGGAAAAGGTTAAAACTCAGCTGGCTGGGAACTGAATATAACAGTTATTCACAGCATCAATATGCCGTCCAACCTGGATAGACATTGAACTTAAAATCACAACAGGGTTGACAATATTCTGACCTCATCAGAACCAGAATAAAGGAAGGCAAGAAGAACCAGAGACAATGAGACTAATGAAAAGCTGTTTTCCAGGGTCAGATGTTTTGGAAAGGAAACCAGACTCGTTTAGGTTCAAGGTTCCATTCTCAGGAAACATGGCATTTTCTTTCACTGTTATGCTGATGACAGCCAGATGTATGTCCCCCTCAAAAAGGCTGATTCCTACTCTGTTGAACCACTGTTAAAGTGTTTACATGACCTTAAAGCTTGGATGTCTTTAAATTTTCTGAATTTTAATGAAGAAAAGACAGAAGTCATGGTCTTTGGTGGCACATCTGTGACCCCCCCCCCCAGTTGAACTGAGATCAACTAGCGCAATATTGTAAACCAATTATAAGAAACCTCGGGGTGGACTTAAAGTGGACTCAGACCTTAAATTTGACAGCCAGATAAAAGCTGTAGTAAAATCTAGCTTTTTCCAGCTAAGGCAGCTGGCAAAGATCAAACCAGTCCT